CTGGGTGGGGCAATGATCACAAATTAGTGCGGATCAAACCGTAGATTTATTTTCGTAAATCTGTGTATTGCACTCCTGCCGTCAACCGGTGTAAATTTAATATCCTCTCCCTCGTTACTGTGGAGAAAGGTATTGAGCTGGAGAAGGCGATGGCTGCACGCCTGTGTGATGTGGAATGCATAGCTAGAGTGGGTCACCTGTGGCACCACATCCGCGATCATCTGACAGCTACTGCCGAGGAGACTATCGGGCGTACAAACTGTAAGCAGCCTGATTGGTTTGATGAGAACAATGCGACGATTAGCGCATTGGTGTCGGGGAAGAATGCAGCATTTGCTGCACATTTGGCAGACCCCAGTAACTTGAGGAAGCAGAGAAATTTTAGGCGAATTGCACGACGGATGATCGGAGAGGTCCATCGCATCAAGAATGCATGGTGAACGGAAAAGGCGAAGCAGATGGAATGGCATACCGAACGCCGCCAACATAAGGAATTCTTCGAGTCCTTGAAGGCGGTGTACGGATCGAAGTTGGAGCCGCTAAGGACGTCAATCGATGGTATTTCTGGCGGAGACTGCACACGGACCGCAAACATAATGCAGATCTGGCGAAAACACTTTGACTGTCTCTTGAACAACCGTGCAGAGGTTGATCGGATTAAGTTACACAGGTTGAAACAACAAGACATGAAAAGGTGTCTTACTGTCACACCGACAGTGAATGAGTCTCAGAGAGCACTTGCTCAGCTGCGAATCGGCAAGTGTGCAGGTGCCGACGGATACCGCCGGAAGTATTGTAATAAGGCGAACCCGCGTAGTTAAATGCACAGCATCATTAGGTTCAACGCGTGTGGTTTGAAGAAGAGGGGCCTCCTGAGCTGAAGGATGCCCTTGTGTTACCACCGTACAAGGGAAAAGGTAGTAAGCAATGTTGCACGAATTATCGTGGCATCAACTTGCTGAGTTGTGTGGGCAAGGTAATTGCATGAATCCTACTCAACCGCCTCGTCAGTCAGGTTGTGGAACCTAACGTGGCGGAAGAGCAGTGTAAATTCCGCTCGGGTCGCAGCACTATGGATATGGTGTTTGCGGCTCGTCAGTTGCAGGAGAAGTGCAGGGAACGACACCAGCCGTTGTACTCGCTTTTTGTTGATTTCACCAAGGCATTTGATACGGTGAACCGCGAGGCATTGTGGTTGGTGTTGGGTAAGTTTGGTTGCCCGCGTAAGTTTGTAAGTTTAATTGAATGTTTGCACAGTGGTATGCGAGCGAGGGTTCAGCTGAGTGGAGACACCTCGGATAACTTTGCAGTTGTCGCTGGTGTGAAGCAAGGCTGTATCTTAGCTCCTGTCCTGCTTAATATTCACCATAATGCAATGATGTCTTGTGCTTTTGATGCCACTTGTGCTTACGGTGTTCATGTGGAGCACCGTATTGATGGTGGGTTGCTGAACATCCGTCGTTTCGGTGCGAGAACCCTAGTCTGTGACATAACTATCCATGTTTCCGTTTGCTGACGACTATGCGTTGGTTCACACAGCGCGGATGAGTTGCAGCACATGACTAGTGCACTGGCTTCGACACCGGCCAGATTCGGACTCACTACCAACAAGTAAAACACAGTCGACGATTCAGATAAATCAATTACTAATGCGGGAAAGCACCCGGATTAGTAGTTGATCTAGCTGAATTGTCGGCTGATTGTGGCGAGCTCAAAAAACTCCAAAAATCCTTCTACTCATAAGTAGTACAAGCAAAACGGTTGGTGTTTTCCGGCATTCATTCGGAATGGAGGCCGAGGGCCTGTCCAAAATCCAGGTTGCTGATGAAGCGTTAGAAATTGCTTCGAGATTTTGCTACCTTGGTAGGGTAATAACAAGCGACCTGCAGATAACGAGTGAGTTGCGCAACCGCGTATTGATAAGGGTTGATACAGTTGGTAAGCCGGAATGTCGTGTGTGGAATAACCATCAGCTCACTGTCGGGACGAAGCTGTGAGTGTACAAGTCCATGGTTCTGTCCGTTCCTCTATATGACAGCGAAACCTGGACGCTTTATCGGAAGGATGTCCGATATCCGGAGTGATTCCATTAACAGTGTCTGCGTCGAATTCTGCGCATCGGTTGGTACGATAAAGTTGCGGACACGGAAGTGTTGCGCCGAAGTGGAATGTATGCAGTGAACTACATACTTTTGCTGAGGCACCTCAGGTGACTTGGGCAAATTAGCCGCATATAATCGACGCGGATACCCACGGAGAAGCTATATGAACAAGTTAGCGCAGGGAAAGGAAAGGTGAGAAAACTGAAGCAACGTTACCAGGACATGATCAAGGTGAGTTGCTCACGAACTAAAGTAATTTCGCTGCTTCCGATTCAATTTGCTAACCAGGGTAAATAAGGGGGTTAATGTGGTAGGTGTGCCACATCGCCGTTGCAGTTGGTCTGTGCTTGTGCTTGCGTGTTGAGATTCCTGCATTTCAGTTCTTGCACCTTGATTGATATCCCCGGTGTGGCTGCGCTTGATGTGAATGTTGACAAGGTGCCTAGCCCTTTAGTACCCACCAACTCGACTATACTGGCTCCAGGAAATAGTTAGTCGTTGTTGGAGGAGAAGGGGTGCACGGTCCTCGGGGCTGTGCTAGGCTCAAAAAGTGGCTCCATGTATCCAGCGTGGAACGGGCCACGGCCCAGCCGCCGCCTTGTATATGTCTGGTACGCATGATTTCAGAAAAATAAGCATGAATGCTTCTGCTCTGCTTGTTGAAGAAGTGTGGGCCGGCTCCGTTGATGAAATGCGGCTCCCATGCCCATGCCTCCCGGTCTTATTCCTTCGGGTTTAAACTGGATAGAGGATGTGTGGATGGAGCTGTGGGTAGTGCACCGCAAACGTAGGCGTCCTGTAGCTGTCCTATGGAGGCCGCAGTGACAGTCAAATCCGAAAGCGGATGCCGTCAACCATTTACACTGTCAGAACTTAGTGCAGGTGGCGCTGGACGTAGGTCAACAAGCGGCTATTGGCCCATCGTAATGGCTAGCAGACTTGCTGAGGTCATCCCAGAGATCTAAGCTAAGTTTATCGCACCGTTCTAACGGCGGTCGGTGGGGATCGTTGTCGTGCACCGAAGAGTTTGCAGGTGAAGCGCCTAACTCGATGGGCAAATCAGTGTAGAAAGCTCGGCCGCATGCACAAACGTTTTAGACTGCTCTTCATAAAACAACCCTGTTGAGATTCCATCAGAAACACAGGCATGATAGTGGGAGTGGTGTGGATCAGCTGTACGCCGTAACGGCGCTTCGCTGCCGTGCGACCACCACCAGTCGCACGCAGCTAGGATGCGGATTCGAACCCGCACCGTAAGATTACGAGACAAGCTCGTTACCTCGAGGCTACGGGCCGACAGGCATAATAGCACGTAACACCGTGACGTTTAAAAGGGCGGTGAGTGAGTACAGAGTGAAAACGCTATAAATGCTCGAGGGCTTAGGTCAGTCAACGTCAGGTGCTATATGCAGATACGACACAACAAATGACAAGGTCTGAGTAAAACAATGTAGGAGAATGAGCGGAAAAACTACCCGGGGCAGATTTAAAATTAGCTGAAGGTTCAAGGGACGATTCATGCGAGATTCGGATACAAGGTAATAGAATTTGAATATTTCTGGTGGATCGAAACACGTTTTTGGAGGTATAGAGGCAAACCGTGGCTCCTATCAAGGGGCACTATGGAGCAACCGAATGAAAAAAAGGATTTAGTCAAACCTCCAGTATTTCACTAACCGCATGGTCAGTCAGGGCCAATAGAGTACGGCAGTTTGCGCAAGGGACGTCTCGTCTGCTCAGCTGGCTCCAATCCACGCTAACAGAGTCCAACTCGATTGCCAGTTGTCTTGCGGAGAGTAGTGGAAGGGGATTAGTTTTGGTATCCACTGAAAGTGAACAAATTAGACAACTAGTTCAAATGATCGACCAAAAGTAGCATGAAGACAGAAGAGTATGACGTTACATGATTTAAGGGCAGTAATTCAAGTCAAACGAGACACTTATGTGTAATAAGCGTCAACTGATCGACTGTGGTGCGGTGACTGTTTTTGAAGCTGAGATGAAATTGGTGGGATTATACCAGGCAAAGTAAAGAGAGAGAAAGGTATGGTTGTGTAGTAGGTGGGACGACGTAATCAGGTAATCAAGAGGGTGACAATTCGGCTAAAATGCGTACGGGTATACAAGTAAAAGTGAGTCCACATCTATCGAGTACATGCGCTCTGTGTATGGTGACGTATGTTCCGGTGTCACGACTAATTCGAAGAAGTCTTTAACAGGTAGCCAGGAATTTACGAATGGGTACCAACTGCTTCGTAAACCAACGGGCAACATTGTGAGATGGGTAGCTGGTCATGCGCAAAATTAGTCGGTGCACATCTCATTCTTGGGGTCTCTCTCTGTTTCCGTCGGCTTCAGTTGTCAATACTGTGTCCCAGTGAAGCGAGTGTAAGTAAATCATCACTGTCAGGCATCAAAGGCTTACAAAATGGGTGAAGCTCACAAAACCCGGTGTGTTACATGGATGTTGGTCGACCGCATGGGTCCTAATCCGACAACGCAAATTTCCAGAGACAGTACTTTCAAAGTGATCTGCAGAGAGAGTACAATGGTGCTTGGTATCACGCATACCTCGACACAGAAGTGGAGAGAGTTTGACGTCATAAAGCGGTGGGCGACAAAGGTGGATGCACAAAACGCATGCGTAATTCAAAGTCCACCTGGGTCAGAAAGAACCGTAAATCGTGTGCGATGTACTATCGATCTTGCAAGCCTAACGTCGCATTGGATTCGGGGGATCGCACTCACGAAAAAAAATTTCTGCGAGCACACTATTAAAACATTACATAATGAATTATGAGACAAATTGACTTCACAATTTCTACAAGTATCTCCTAATAGGTTAAAGGAACATGAGTGAAGGGAAAACAGGACGCCACAAGTAGATTTAAACAAATGGATTCCCGTTCACGCAAAATATGTCAGTATTCTGTATAACCAACCGGCTCCAAACGACATCGAAAGGGCAAAATCGAACTGAGGCAGACCCCGCGACTTCAGCCGAACATGCTTCGTTCAGTTACCCTACAATCGCTCTTGTTTCATAACAGTGGAACAGCCCAATATGTCGTTAGGACCTAAGCAAGGCACCCAAAGGTAATTGCTCATAAATTGCCGTGGTATATACTTGCTTGTTATGGGGAAAACTCACGAACCCAAAGGTCGTAAACCGTAGAAAGCAAAGGTTGTGACGATTTTTCTAATCACAATGGTCGCTTACTTTGAATTCAAATGAAACACGACCCGTATCAGAGACATGTGAGTGTTTAATTTGCACAGCTGTATGGGGTGTGACGCAGACAACTAGCGATAACAGCACAATTAAATTATTATCCACCCCTTCGTTGAAAGGAAAGATGGCCAAAAGAATATGGGCACTAAGATACAGGAGAGGTGATTCAGGCTGTTTTGGATGGTATTACCACTATGATTGACAGAAACAAAGGTCCCGTTTATAGCAGAAAAGTAGAAGCGTACCGCCGTGCTTGAATTAGGTTAATCCAAACAACCCGCCAAAATGCGGTGATACAACGGAGACAATGATCCATGAGAACGACGTTAAGAAAAAGTCAAACGTAAATTCAACGGAAAAGAGATTTGGGGTAAAGACATTGCAGAAGGGAAGAAAATTGCAGAAATAAGCGACAGTGCTTAGAGCATTCAGACGGGGTGAAGTTTGACAGCATCTAGCCACGAGTGTGAGTGATCTCGAAGTCCAGATCCAGACACGGAGCGCTTAACAACCTGACCAAAATCTCCCCTCAATGTGGTTATGCCTTTACTCCATCCCATCGATTGACCACCACGTGGTGTTACGCAATCGCGTGCAACATAGGCAAACAACATACAGAAAATCAAGCGACTAGCAGTCGAGCGAAGAGGGTGGCTTAGTTGACCTCGAGAAAACAAGATCTACTGATAGTCCAGTACGGTGACAGGGAGTTTGGTACCTAAGATCAAGGGATGTACCTTGGCGTTGCGCCCCTGGCCGCATCAGATGCGCGCATTGATACGTATGCACCCATGATCAAAGGCAACCAGTCTACTCGCACATCACAAAAGCGCAGAATCACACAGCCACAATGACCACTGAATCGTTGTGTACGCGTGGTTTTACCGATGAGATGATGTTCCACCCTCTTCAATCTGTGTTTTAAACTTGGGACAAAGCAGATACCATCAATACGCACAGTAGGCAATGATGCAGCACGCTGAATAGGTGAACCGATCAGCCAATTCAAGTACAGTAAAACCAAAGTTGATCACCACTATATTGACCACTTATTTATGATGATTACTTTTTTATAGCTTGAACGGTCACTTTGTAAACCCTATGGAACCAGACCTCTGTAAGTTGACCACCGCATGTTGATCACTTAGGCAATGAAAGTCAGTAATCATTCAACCTCCATTAGTTGACCATTAAAGTGGTTACCATCCAATAGATCCCGAATGACTCGTTTGTTCCAATAACACGGTGTGCACCGGGATTTCTGACCCCCAAAACAGTGAGGATACAGCATGTTCTCTGTGTGTGTTTGTTACCGCCGTCAGCGTTTACGCGCACGCTTATCAGCTAGATCAAGGTGAGTCCCCACAGATTCGTGCCAACGGAATGACCTAGAACTGTTTGTGTCCAAACTCCCTCACGTGTCCACAAGCAAGCTTTCGTCCACCCATAAGACCATGTGTCCACTCATCGCAATCAGGAGTTTCAGCGACTGTCAAACCCTTGATTGACCACCAGATCTAAGCACCAGTTCATTAGCACCTTGCATTATGGCGGGATTGAGGTTTACGCACGCATTAATTGTCGAGCGTTTATCCGGCTCTGTTTGGTGTCGGCCTGAGGATGAGACCAATTGTGGCTAGCTATTGTATGCAATTAACTTTATGTAAATAAAACCGTAGATCTTAGATTCACTCGTTGCTTTGAAGCACTTAGGACCGGTCATTAGGAATAATTCAACGTTATGGCTCAAAGAAAAGACCACCGACAGTTTACTTTGAAAGTAAAGTTTAGTGTGCAACATTTTCTGGAAAGCAGTGGCCAACGAAAGAAGGTAAAGTATTTGGATGTTAGTAGGACAACAGTTAGCAACATCCAAAGACAAAAACACAAGTAATTGGAGACATACGATAATGAAAGAGATCTACAGCGAGATAGATGGATAACCTCAAACCATGAATTCTGTGAGGCTACGCTGCGCTGGTCAAGCAAATGGGGGCAGCTAACGCACGAATTTCCGAGCCGATGATTCAAGAAATTACCAAAAAGTTCGCACAATACATCGGAGTTGCAGATTTCCAGGCATCCAATGGTCAGGGCTAGAGCAATTTAAAGTCCATGATATTTCCCAAAGCTTGCACACAGACCCAACGGGTCGTCAGTCAGCCAAATTGATTCTAGTGCGCTATGACAAACCGTCGGTCAGGTTCCAGTTGTAGTCGTACGCTCGCACAGGTCAACTGCAGTCCGTCCTGGCCAAGGTAGACTCAACGCGTGAGTGAACCTTTTCTGCGTGCACAGCGCTGGTTTGTACAACCGGATGGCGATGGCTTCTGCGGCGTCTAATATCCGCTTACGGAAATACTTTGATCGATTTTCTGGGGCCTGATAGATTACTTTGAACGAATCAGCCGACTTGGTGGCGTGACCCGTATCCGTAAGATGCGCGGCGATGGCACAGTTGGTGGCCTTTTGACCTCCATTTCCGAGCCAAGCCGGATGGTGTTCCCTCACCGTTTCGGCTAAGCGTCTTGTCGTACGACCAACGTAGCCTGCTTCACAGGAACAGGTGAAGAAGTAAGCACACATAGATTTGGTGTGGACAGGCAGCTTGTCCTTGAAGTTTAGTCTCACCATTGGGCTACTGGTGAACCGGATTTGCAGCCTCGCCGCAGGGAAGGTATTCCTGAGTGTGGACGGGAGACGGCGGGATAGATTCTCTGATATTATTTCCCCTTTGTAAGGCAGTTGCAGGAAAATAGGTTTCCGTTCCGCCGTCAGGACCTTAGGTGCCTCCCAGTTTCGCTCCATATTGGCATTAATAAAATTCCCTGGGTAGTCGTTCACTTTAAGCGTCAATCGTATAAGGTGCATCTCTTCGAAAAGAGTATCCCTCGAGCAGATTCTTTCGGCCCGGTTCACGAGACTGAGGACCACGTTTCTCTTAATCCGAAGCGGTACAAAGCTATGAGAGTTTGTGTACTCTCCACCCCAAGTGAACTTTCGGTAAACGCTACGTTGTACTGCACCACCATCAAGTCTTTTTAGAGCTACAACAAGAAAATGAAAAGCGCCATTTTCTTCTATCTCGTAGGTGAATTGTATAGCGTTGTGAGTCTGGTTAAATACGCAGGCGAGCTCCTCGGTGTGACCAGAGGCGTCAACTAGGACGAAGATGTCATCTACCTAAAGGTGGTATAATGTGAGGCTGTTGATGACCGCTTTCAAGTTACGCTGTTCCAACATACCCATGGAGACATCAGCAAGGAATGGTCCTAGCGGGGAACCCATTGCAACTCCATCGCGCTGCCGGTATATATCCCCATTGAATAAGAAGGTGAACATTAAATGTACACCTTGGCAGTAATTCTTTCAGGGCCAAAGTTGGTATGCAAATATTAAGATGGCTCTCGTCAACAAAGTTGCAAATGAACTCAATCGTTCCAAATAAAGACACATTCGTGAACAGTGAGGTGACGTCGAACGAGCACATAGTTTGGTTCGTGACGTTGACATCACGCACGGCATCTACAAACGCAAAAAATGTTCTTTAGGGTATGTACAGCGACTCGTCTACGCACAGGCTCAAGAAGTTCCACCAGCCAACCAGCAATCAAGTGATATGGGGAGTTTCTCATGTCCAAAACTGGGCGAAGAGGACAGTTAGGCTTGTGGGTTTTGGGAAGGCCGTAAAGCCTTGGAATAACCGTGGCCACCAGGCGTAAATCTTCATAGACCGATTCACTCATAAAAGCACCATTCGTAAGCTTTTTGAAACAGACGCACAGTTGATTTTCTATCCGTTTTGTTTTGTCTCGCCCATCAATCATTTTCAAGAATTTCATATCATCTGCCAATAATTCACCCATCTCGTTGAGGCCGTCTGCTCTGTTTAGGATAACAATGTCGGCACCTTTGTCTGGACGGGTAAGCAGAAGTTGATTGTTGCTAATTAGTCGCTGCAGTGCTGGCATATGCTCATGTTATTAATGTCAATATGGGGCTAAACAGGGAGGCACCTAAGGTCCTGACGGCGGAACGGAAACCTATTTTCCTGCAACTGCCTTACCAAGGGGTAATAATATCAGAGAATCTATCCAGCCGTCTCCCGTCCACACTCAGGAATACCTTCCCTGCGGCGAGGCTGCAAATCCGGTTCACCAGTAGCCCAATGGTGAGACTAAACTTCAAGGACAAGCTGCCTGTCCACACCAAATCTATGTGTGCTTACTTCTTCACCTGTTCCTGTGAAGCAGGCTACGTTGGTCGTACAGCAAAGCGCTTATCTGAAAACGTGAGGGAACATCATCCGGCATGAATCGGAAATGGAGGCCAAGAGGCCACCAACTCTGCCATCGTCGCACATCTTGCGGATATGGGTCACGCCACCAAGTCGGCTGATCCGTACAAAGTAATCTATCAAGTCCAGAAAATCAAACAAAAAATTTCCGTAAGCGGATATTAGACGCCGCAGAAGCCATCGCCATTCGGTTGTACAAACCAGCGCTGTGCACGCAGAAAAGGTTCACTCACGCGTTGAGTCTACCTTGGCCAGGACGGACTGCAGTTGACCTGTGCGAGCGTACGACTACAACTGGAACCTGACCGACGGTTTGTCATAGCGCACTAGAATCAATTTGGCTGACTGACGACCCGTTGGGTCTGTATACAACTCTTGATCTACTGTAAAAGCCTGAGGAAGAATTACCGAAAACATATGTTCGCTTACACAGACTTTTGACCAATCAATGGGTTTTTCAGTTCAATTTCCCAAAGCGTCTCGTGTGGTGAATCCAATAAAGTGTCTGAGGGGTTTGTTCAAGACTGTATCGAAAAATTTACTAACAATGACGACATTTTTAACACTGACAAGTGCGGTCTCTTTTTGAAGACGTGCCCAACAGAAGCCTTGTTATAAAGAGTGACAAATGTAAGTGGAAAACATTTCAAAGAACGTTCCACAGTTCTGTCATGCGCTAACTCAAGTGGGGAGAAGCTTAAGCCCCGAATCATTAGTAAATCAGCTAGACCACGTGCGTTCAAGAACCTAAATCCTAAAATCCTTCCAGTCACCTGGAGCTCAAACCGATCTGCGTGGATGACTGCTGCCATATTTGTGGAGTGGAGCAGAAGTATTGACAGAGAAATGATGGAGAAGAGACGGTTCATTATCCTAACAGTGGAATACTGTTCTAGTCACATCCATGCAGCAAACCTCACGAATATTACACTATAGTTTCTGCCTCGAAACATGACATCACAAATTTAACTGCTGGACCAAGGGATCATCAAAATTTTTAAACCGCCCAGCTCATGCGATGGGCTATGGCAAACTGCATACTAATGATTCCCATGCGAAAGGAAATTCATCAGTTGCTTCAGTTAATGCCTTGGATGATGTGCTTCGGAGAAGTTCCGCCTGGTTCAAATTCCAACCAGAAATAATACAGACGTTTTTCACGGAAGTCGGATTTGTTCAACCTTTCGAGCGGGATGACGTCGCTTCATTAGATATTCCATCTCCGTTAGTAGAATTTGACGGAATAGATTTTAAAGAGTTTGTTGAAATGGATGATGACTGGCTAACTAGCGTTGAACCAGATTCAAATATTATTTTCCAAGAGATGCTGACTGCGGTACTTCTCAAAGTAAACAAAGTATAAACACCTGATAATGCTGGTGAAGAAGTAGAAGGAATGTGACCGTATTTGGAAATGACAAAAACTTCAAAAGAAGATGAAGTCAGATATCTTTTAATGCAACTAAAATAATTTGCTGTAGAAAAATATCCGAGCACGACATGTCCGAGTGTGGCATGTGTTAAGAGTGCTTTTTTCAGATTTCATTGTGATAAGAGAAATATACAAGGACCGTCGTTTTCTTCAAAAAATGGTTTAACTTGCGAAATGCACACTGTATTGCTGAACTGCGCTTTCCGTTACGTGAGACCTCGTCTAATATGTTCAAAACGGGTTTATGTGAAAATAAATTACATACTACACTATTCACAACGGGGAAGTAGGTTAGGTTAAGTTTTGGCATAGGACCTCCGTAAGTCGACCACCTCTCTATGTTGACCACTTTGGTCCAGTCCCTTGAGTGGTCAAATTACAGAGGTTTTACTGTGGTTGTTTGGTGATACTGAGAAATTGGTCGGCTGTCAGCTCAAAATGTGGTGTCTTGGGACCGCGAAGCACGTGAAGATCCATGCAATGCGGTGTCCGTGTGTTCAGAAACAAACGTACGGCAGTTTGATCAGCAAGAAAGTTATTTTAAGCGAACTCGGAGCTTAACCGCCCGTCCATAAAAGATAATCTAACGGCAGGAGGACTTCAGGGAGCAACAATTTGTGGTCAGTCTGATCATAATTCTGACGGTTTACGTGTCTGCGCTGAACTCGGGCTCTGGAGATCAATGCAATAATTTGAAAATGGAATTCAATTTTCCTAACCGTGTTCAAAAATAGTGGAAACATTTCCGTGTAGAGTACAAAGATAAGTCCCACTCACTTGTGACAGCTGCATTCTGGCCTATGGGAGTGGAAACGGCACCGTTCAACAGATTGGGGACGCACATGGGGTTGCCATCCTTGGCGTTTGTGGGGAGAATAGAGTCAGCTGTTGTAAGATAACTTATCTGAAGTAAAACAAGGAGGTGGATGACAACGATGAGTGAAAAATAAATTGCATGAGGAGCGCAATTCGAAAGACGTCCAATCAGCGAATAGGGAAATAAGGGGAGGGAAAGGTCTTGGCTACGAATCTGCTGAACCCAAAGCGAGTACACTGTGAAGAAATCTAGCTGGACAAGCCACTGGTTGAATTTGGAAGCAAAGCAAGCAGATGGTACAAAATAATGAGGACCCCTGACAAACTGCTGGGCATCAGAGGTTGCTGCGGAGAATGCCTAATGATTACACCAAGATCACCAGACTGAGAGCATCTCATACAGTCAAGGGGCAGCTGCAAATGTAGTGTTCTATGCATAAAGGCACGTAAGCTGGAACAATGGTTCTTATCACTCGAGAGTTGGATGGTTGAGGTAACCAGCAAGCAACCATGACGACTGACCACAACATCAGGCTGCTCATTATAGCGCGTGATGAACACGATGGTGAGCATTTCAACCACCCCCGCTGCACCATAAACCAGACATTAAACCCACTCATTGCTCATATAGTTTCCGCGAGGCACGAGCCAAACTGTGAAAACACTGATAGTGGAAAACGCAGTTAGCCTCTTTGCTCAAAAGTAAACAACAGGTAGAACTGCCAATGTACCAAAGTGCGGCGTATCCGTAACAATGAAGAAAAGAGCAAAGAAGAAAATTGGAAACAGTGTAGATATCCAATCGAAGGGCTATCAGGAGACAGTGAAATGGATTATGAGGACGATGCAGACTCTCAGCCTGTGGGCTCAGACTGTATGGATGTTGCTTGCTGCGAGTGAAGGAAGTTAAATAACCTCACATTGTCTCTCGTGGATGTCCCACGGACTCACATACTCAGCCCATCTTAGTGTACAGTCCACGACAGATAACAAGTTGATCGCTTCCATCTAGTGATGCACCATGTCTTTCTTAGTGGATAGAAAGTTTAAGCAACTCCCCTGAGTTCAGTTACCATTTCAAGGTACGGTCAGTTTGTGGTTTCCTACATTCGTGTCCACTTTCAGTAAACATTCTCCACTGGGATTGTCTGTCTACAAACATGCATCGCATGGCCCCGGACCACCTCAAGTGGTCTGGTCCAACTCCAAATGGCTTGTAGTCAAACCAAGGTAGGTGGATTGCAGCGTCAATTAAATTAGTTGCATTTTACTGATTCGACCCAGCAACTAATAAGCCAGATAGTCCAAGACCAATCCGGAAAAGTACCAGTCGGCCGTATTGCTTTATTGGGGCTCGTCAGTGATGTGCACCTTCCGGCTCCATCATGGACCGAACCTATGACCGCTAATAGCTTGTGTTACTAATCAGCAAGTTATCTCACTGAGCTATGGAGGACGGTGGCCAACCGTCAGAAGTTGCTTGTAAATATTAGTATTGCGGCTTTCCAAACACCGTTGTATTTCAAAACCTACTAAAATTATATAATCTCAGTCGGAGGCAAATTCATTCCAATATACTAGTGACACTTCTGTTCATGCTGATTGCAATCGCAATGCCTAAGGAGAGAAAGGAAACGTTTCTAGTGTGCCCATGCAGTAGTGCAGTCAGATTAGGCTTGAGATAATTCCCGCGTCGCCATGGGAATCGAAGCAGGTAAATTAGAATAAACCGATTCCGCTAGGTTGTGAAGTTAAGTGAAAAGCAGTTATGCGAAGAGATTCATGCAACTGTGCACCGTGGAAAAATGAACGACCGATTAGCAACGGTGACTTCGTAGTTGAGGGAAACTCATCATTATATGCTTTCCAGTGATATTCGACGCCGCAAGAAACCATCTGAGTCAGTAAGAATAACATCGAACCGTCCCTGTGATTGACTTCGTTCTGTCATCAGAGTGGGGACTGCATGAACAGCGCATCCTGTCTTTGGAGGAAATGCAGTCTGCACTTTCCTAATTCACCAGGTTCAGACGGCCTGCAAGACTCGAGCTCTGTGCTCACTCTGCGATCCCCTTCAGGTGACACTAGCAGCACTTTCTCATTGCGCCTATCCGGTGACGATGCAGCTTCGAGCACCGGCCAAGCCGGTGTTGGTATTGCCCTGAGTCCCCGGACTGAAGCTGCTCTGGTTGATTGGATTCCAATCAGTAGCCGGATGTGTGCGGTCCGATTGGCTGACTCGTTCAAAACTTCGAAGTCGCGCGGGACTAATAAGTGTCTATTCGTTATCGCTGCCTATGCACCGACAAACTGTAGCGATGACTCGGTAAAAGATGACTTCTATCGTCAACTGAACGAACTCCTTCGCCACAGAAGAAGCTCGGACACTGTAGTGCTGGCTGGGGATCTGAACGCTCAAGTTGAAAAATTATCCACTGATGAGCTGCATTTGGGCGGCCAACATGGTGTAGGCTCCCGTAATGATAACGGTGAGCGGTTACTTCATTTGTGTGAGGATGCTCGCTTATTTCTTGCGAGCACTACTTTCAGACACAGCACCCGCCGAAGGGTGACTTGGCGCCCAACAGCGTTGAACCAGCTGTGGACGCAGATCGATCACATTGCGATAAGTTACCGCTGGAGAGGCTGCATCCAGAACTGTCGCTTGATTTGGAGCACAGGTGTGGACACCGATCATGCACTTGTATATGCTGACATTCGGATGCGCTTTGGCGAACGCCCAAGACGACGTTGTGAGCGCATTGACACCAGCCAACTGGCGAAGCCCGTTGTTCTGAATGCCTATCAAATTACGCTGTCATCCGAGTTGGATAAACGCTCACTGGATGCAATTGAAGCTCACTGGTCTCATATTCACCAAAACTTACTTGCAGCAGGCAAATCCTCATGTGGTATGTCTAATCGGCAACATCGACACTGGGTTTCTTCGCAGTCTCTGGAACTTATCGATGCTCGCCGGCATATTCCGGCTGGAAGCGAACACAATGAAACTCGCAAAGAGCTCCGGGCGAAACTACGTGCTAGCCTGAAGAGAGACCGCGAATCCTGGTGGTCTCATCGTGCATCAGAGATGGAAATGGCCGCTGCCCTTGGTAACCATCGTGAGTTATTCCGTCTGATACAGAAAACGGGCAGCAGGAGACCTGGTGTTAATGAAACAATTTGTGACGAGAGTGGACAGCCTATCCACAACTTGTCAAAACGTTTGGAGCGTGGGGTGAACATTTTGAAAGGTAATTGAATCGGCCGGAATTGTTAGATTTCTCGCCGGCCACTGATCGCCCCGCTCCATGGGCTGTCCCTTTGGATCCACACTCTCGCTCAGAAGTCGAATGTGAGATCGAACCGTTGTGGTTACATAAAGCCGCTGGACCTGAGGATCTTCATCCAACCCTCTTTAAATTCGGGGGACCTGCTCTTGCGGATGATTTACACGAATTACTAGTTAAACAGTGGGAGCAAGAAACTGTCCCAACCGATTGGAGCCGCTCCGTCATAGTCCCAATTTTCAAAGGAGGCTCACGATCGGAATGCGGTAACCATAGAGGAATCAGTCTGATCTCCATCGCCTCCAAATTGATTGCCTCTGTCATCCTTCACAGACTGACTGCCACTCGTGAAAGCCAGATTCGTGAAGAGCAAGCCGGGTTTCGTCGAGGTCGCGGCTGCATTGACTACATCTTCACCTTGCGTCAGTTGTTGGAGCACCGTCACATATATTGGCGGCCCACCATTGTCGTGTTCCTCGATATCAAAGGTGCATTCGATCCGGTGGATAGACGTGCACTTTGGGACTGTCTACTCAGGAAAGGTGTACCTGAGAAATATGTAATTATTATCCGAGCATTGTATGCGCGTAGCTCGGGCAGAGTGAAGGCTTACGGCAAGTTGTCGTCGCCCTTTAATATCTCCAGCGGTGTGAGACAAGGATGCCCGCTGTCACCTTTCCTCTTCAACTTTGCTGTTGACGAAGTCATGTAAATCGCGTTCACAGGACACGACTTAGAAGGTGTGGATCTGGTCCCAGGAGAACGACTTCTTGTCTCAGAGTATGCTGATGATATTGCCCTAATCTGTGACAGCTCCCAGACGTGCCAAGCGGCACTGGACAGATTAGCACTAGCTGTCCTTCACTTCGGGCTTTGCTTTGCACCCTCGAAGTGCAAAGCGTTCCTCCAAGATTGGCACGGATCGCCTCCTTCGCTGACCCTTGGTGGGGATCAGCTAGAAGTCGTTCAGAAATTCAACTACCTGGGAAGTTGTATCAGCGCCATTGGGATTGAAGATGGGATCACGAACCGTATAGCAAAAGCTCGGGGTGCTTTTGCTAACCTTCGCCACTTATGGCGCCGGCGCGACATCACTCTTGCCCTGAAGGGTAGAGTGTACAATGCAGCGGTACGTTCGACCCTACTGTACGGTTGGGAAACCTGGCCCCTTAAAGCAACGGACCTGAAGAGGCTAGTTACGTTCGACCACCGGTGCCTTCGTAATTTAGCTCACATCTGGTGGGAACACCGCGTGAGCAACGAGCGTGTTCGACGCCTTGTTTACGGCACAGGAAAAGGAACTAAACCGCTCAAAACCGTTATTTCACGCACCAGGCTCCGATGGCTCGCCACGTGTTACGCATATCAGCCCACCGACTCCCGCGACGTGTGTTGTTTGCACGCCGAGGGTGTGGATGGAAGAAGAGGAGAGGTGGCCAACGGATGACTTGGTCCAGAGGAATGAAGGCCCTCACTTCTGAGCTGGCCTCGGTTGGAGCGTCTCGGCTCCCTGGTTGGGGTCCGAAAGACGATGTACACGTTTGGTTGGACACACTTGCTGATATGGCTAGGAGCCGACCTCAGTGGCGTTCGTGCTGTGAGTTTCTTTGTCCCACCCCATTCCTCTTAGCCTCCCCCTCCAACTACGATCTCATTATTTAGCCTTATATAATTTTGCATAGTAATTTCTTTGGTGCACAGCAGCCGGCTGGTAGCTTACCGGAACGATGCCCATCCGTTACCGGTAGCTCAGCCGGCTTGCACCAGTTGCTTTTTTTCTCCTTTTTTTCTATGTATT